TGGGGGCAAGATTTGTTCAGAGGAGGTTTGCCACAGCCATCCTCTGAGGGTGAGAGAGTGTGACTTTGCCCAAGGTTCCTCAAGTGAATTCAGATGGGTTTTACTGTCTTGTAAAGGATGCCTGGCATGTTTGGACCGTTGGAGTAGAACAGGAGTCCAGGGTTCAAATCCCCTGCCATGTCATGAAACCCAGTGGGTGGCCATGGGTGAGTCACACTCTCTCAGCCTCAGAGGATGGCCATGGGAAACCCCTCTGAAGAAGTTTGTCAAGAAGACTCCATCATAGGTTTGCCTTAGGGTGACCATAGTCTCCCAGCAGGTGATTATAGTTCCCCATAACTACTAAATTTTGCATGTTTCAGATTTCTGAGATTTGTTCCTGAAAAACATCATCCACCACCTTTTCTTGGTTTGGTGGCCTATAGTAGACTTCTGACAGCCAGTGTGGTGTAGTAGTTTGAGTGCTGGATTAAGATACAGGGAGACCAGGGTTCAAATCCCCACTTGTCCATGGAAACCCACTGGGTGACCTTGCCCCAGTCACACTCTCTCAGCCTCAGAGGATGACCATGGCAAACCCCTCTGAAGAAGCTTGCCAAGAAGATTCCATCATAGGTTTGCCTTAGGGTCACCAAGGCACACAACAATAATATCAATAAAGGATGCCTGGGACAGGAGGGTTATTCAGATGATTCATACAAGTGGGAGGGAAGAACTGTAGACTACCAGAGGACTAAGTACAGAAGCTAGATGTGTGTAAGGATTTAAAGCATAAATAAGCAGGGTGGCTATCCTTATTTTAAATGGAGGGGTTGCCAAGTAAGAGAGAAGAGATAGTTAAGAGGTGATATGATCGCCCTGTTATTTGTTAGTTTTTGAAGGGATGTCATATTAAGGATGCCATATTAAGGATGGAACAAACTTGTTTTTTGCTGTCCCAGAGACTAGAACATGGAACAATGGATGCAAGCTACAGGAAAAGGGATTCACCTCAACATTAGGAAGAACTTCCTGACAGTGAGAGCTGTTCGACCGTGGAACACACTCCC